TCCTTGTTTGTTATAAAGCGTCTTTGTATGTTTCCTCCCTTCCATGAAGGAGGTCTGCCTCTACCTTCTTCCTCTTCTTCTGGGTCAGTACCTTTTCTAGTTGTCAACCCCCAACCATTTATATTAGTTACTCGTGTTGTTGCTGTGACTAAATACCAAACAAATGTCTCTTAAGAAAGGAAGGGCTTATTTTAGCTCATCGCACCCCGGGTTAAGTCATGTGTACCAGGAGAGGTCAGGGTGGCAGGACTGTGACAGCTGGCCATAGTGTATGCGTTGCTAGGAAGTAGAGCAAGAGACAGATGCTGGTGCTCGGCTCTCTTTCTTCCTATCCCATGGAATATAGTGCCACTCACAGTTAGTGTAGGTCTTCCCACATCAATTAACCTAGTCTAGGGAATCCCTTCCAGGCATGCCCAGAGGGGAAATCTAATTCATAAAATTCTTCAAAGGCATGTTTTCTTTTAGTGGCCTGTTTGTTTCATTTTGCATGTGACAATTATTTATTTATTTATCTATCTATTTATTTTTTAAAGATATAGCATTGAGCATAAATTTTTGAATATTCTATTTCATTGTTGATTAGCCTTTGATCAATAAAAATGGATTATATGATCCTTTTACTGGTGTTTAAGTTCTATTTTGATTTTAATAGTGCTACTTTTGTGTGTTCCTTTTTATGTATAATTCCATTTTGACATCTTTTAATTATTTTAATTAGATCTTTTATCATTAGCCTAAACTTGAAGGTTTGTTTTTGACACCCATAGGAGTCTTTTTCATTTCATAGTAGAACTCAAGCATTTATATTTGTTTTAAAATGGATATGCTTGGGTTTTCCTTAATTTATTTTTTCATGCTTTCTTGGTAATTTTGACAAAGTTTTTTTTTAATGTTCTGGGTTAGTAGTCTTCCTTTTCTCCACCCCAGTGTTTGAAATGTTTTTGTTAGTAATAGTTATAGTGATAGAATAATTTCCTCTTTTAAAGAAAATCCCAGCTTTTAATACCTAGAATTTGTGAATATTACACTGGTAGGCAGGGCCAGTCTCTCTAGATTTTATTAAAAATGAATAGGTTAGTTAATTCTATACTATCTTGGTCAGCCCTCAACCTAATCACAGCAGTCCTTATGAGAAAAAGAGGAAGAAAAAACACACACATAGATACACACAGAGACACAAACACACACATAGACACACACACACACACACACACACAGCAGAAGACAACATAAACATGGATGAAGAAGTGGGCAGGGTGTAGCTACAAGCTGAAGTTGGCCACCAGCACCATCTGGAAGCTAAGGGAGGCTTAAGTGAACTCTTCTCTACCTGGTGGGAACACACAACTGTCAAACTCAGAGATCCACCTGCCTCTGCCTCCCTAGTGCTGGGGTTAAAAGCTTGTACCACCACCGCCCAGCTAATTTATGTGTATCTTATTTTTTTTTATTTTCCTATTGCCACTTCCTTTGCAGGAGAGGGCCAATGGGAATTTTCAGTCCTTTAAATATTAACTTATGTCTTACATGCATGCTTATTACACAGTTATTTTATGCATATTATTTTATTCATTAAACATTGTAGAAATTAACCTTAGGCTTTATTGATGGTTAATCACTTGCACTCTATTTTCCACATTTCATCTTTTATATTTTACCCTACTATTAGATTGGAATCATTTCAAGAACACTTTATGATAAACTAGAAAATGTTTGCAGCTGATACTGCACTGTATTTTTCTCTCCTTTTTTGTTGACATTGAGACCACGTGGCCAGTGTAACCCTTGCTTCTTAGCCAAGGGCTAGCCTGTGCTGACTGTAGACGATAGCCTCCAGTGTTAAACACCATGGACAGCCTTAGATGCACAGATGAATGTACAACTTCCTCCAGTAAAAGCAAGGCATGTTTACTGAGATTCTGCAAACAATTACGTTGCTACAAAAGAAAGAGTAATCAGTAAAGGTCTTCATTTCATTTGAATATGCCTTCTTATTCAACTAAACTGCTGAGCCTTAGCTTTAAAAGAAGAAATACATAACACATAATACAGAGACTAGAAAATAGAGATGATATTAGCATTTTCACAAAACATACCATTAAATAACCCTCATACCATTAATTAATTCCCTCCTGGATTTGTTCTCTTCCTTCTTTCTTCCATCCCTTTCTCTCTCTCTCTCTCTCTCTCTCTCTCTCTCTCTCTCTCTCTCTCTCTCTCTCTCTCTGCCCCTTTCTTACCTTCTTCATTTATTTACTCATTTTTATTTTGAGAAAGGTTCTTTCTCTGTGACACAGGCTGGCATGGAATTCATGACTGTTTTTCTTCAGCTCTCTGAGTGCTGGGATTATAGATGCATACCCTACACCCAGCTATCCCTGCATTTTGAGCCACCAGTGTGTCTTCATAACATCATCTGCTTTGGGACCAGAGTCTTGGAAATCTCGCCTCTGTCTTTTGTTCCATGCTGAAAGTGATCTAAGGTCAGCCAGTTCCCAGGGTTCATCAGTGAGTGGTGCTGTCTTTCTCACCAGGCTCTCAGACTCTACCTTGTTGAACCCTGGATTTCTAGCTTATAACTTTAGAGCAGAACGTTTGGTGCAGTGTCCCAGAAAAAGAAAATGAGCCTGTCGGGACTCAGCTGCTTAGTTGGCTGTCATCACTTTATTTCAAAGACCATACAATTGGAATGGAGAGCAACTTGCTCTGTTGGGGTTACATGTTATTAACTCATAAAAGAATGACAAGTAGTTCCTAGGATAAAAATGTGTTATGGACAGCAAAACCACATATACTTTTCCAGGGCTCACTTCCCACTCTGGAAAGTGTACCATCTCTAAAATACTTATATTAGACCCAGTTCACCAGTATGAATTATCTTGTCATTTGCAACTCTTTCCATGAAATTCTCAGGGTAGCTTTGAGGTAAGAAATATAGAATATAAAACAACTATAAAATTAATAAGTTCTGCTTTTTAAGATGAAAGAATGTTTTAAAACATTTTTTCCCAAGATCCCTCTGGGAATTTCCAAAGACAGTGTTTGTTGAAAATGACATCATTTAAGAATGTAGCTTATTTGTTTGTTTGTTTCTAAATTTAGAGTCTGATCTTGGGAAGGCCAAAATCAAAACAATAATTTGAGTAACCTTAGTCATTTGACGAACCTAAGATCATGGGAGCTTGAGAATGGCTAAAGTTATAGCTGACCCCAAAGTCTTTACCCTAACCCTGCTTGGAATAACTTAGAATAGAGTTTGCTTATGTTCAATTAGAAAATGTTTGCAATCGACACTATGCAATACTTTTATCTCTCTGTCATCAATGATTCTGAATGGAAAGTGTAACCCTTGTTCCTTAGTCATGTGCTAGCTTTCCTGACTGTTAAGAACAATTTAAAACTTGAAAAACAAACAAACATTGAACATGAATGTTTGTAAAGAGCCTTGAAAATAACTAAATAAAGGTGGGGAGCTGAAGACAATAAAAGTGGGTGCCACTGTGATTGAGGTGACACCCTACTTATCAAAAATGGCAAGCCTTTAGTCTTATGGCTATCTTTAATTTTTCTGCATTTATTGTTGAAATAAGATGATGTTCTGGTATGATGCTGTAATTCTGTCCAAGTTTGCTCAGTGGCAGGTACTTGGTCCCAGCTGCCTCCAGTATAAAATTGTGTCCCTCTAGGCATGGGTGATTGGAGGAGGATCCAGAATCCTGCTGCTGAACCTCAAAGATCTAGAGGATGGTGTTTCTCTGGTGGAAGGTATCAACAGAACACTTGGGGATGAGCAGGGACATCTTCCTGTGTCGAGAAGTCAGCCCTGCTGTTAGAGAATTACCGATTACTTAGGGGCTCTCCTTGCTTAAGAATGAATGTGTTCTGGGATGGGGAACAGACACAGTGGTAAAGCATTGCCCTGGCTGTGTGAAGCCCTGTGTTTAATCTCTTGCACTTCAAACAAAGAATAAATGCATTTTGATTTTCAATTATTAAAATGAGACTGAGGTGACACCCTACTTATCAAAAATGGCAAGTCTACAGTCTTGTGACTAGCTTTAATATTTCAGCATGTTTAAGACAGTCACATTTCTATAATTCATATCTTTAGACTACTATTTCTGTTAAAACGCCTTTAATTCTGCAGACAATTTCCTTGGAAAATTCATTGGTAATTTTAAGGCCGAATGGTGAGGTGGCTTATGTGATTCTAGTCTCGCATATTACGAGATCTAAGAATGTGATCATCATTCATCTGTCAAACAAAAAGGATATGGTAGTTTATAAAGCAAGGTTGTTAACTTCTGAAAGAAGCTTTTATATCAGGGTGTCTGTCAATGGAAATCCTATACATATTTTTCTTGGATCATTAATTCAGATGGCATCTCTGTTGAAATAGTTCTCTTATAACATATCTGCTTAATTTTCTTTAATGTCAGGATTCATTAAACATAGGTAATAGGACTTGTATTAGTCAGGATGAATGGATCTTTATATGCAGAAAGGATACTTATTAGAATGACTTACATGCTGTGATCCAGCTGATACAAAAATAGCTAGCTATGAATAGAGAGTCCAAGAATCTAGTAGTTTCTATGTCCACGAGGCTGTGTGTCTCAGCCAGTCTTTAGTATGCGCTGGAATCCTGAAGAAGTAGGCTCTAATGTTAGTGAAGGAATGGACATGCTAGCAAGGTGAAGACAAGCAGGCAAAGAGCAAAATTTCCTTCTTCCATGTCCTTACATAGACTCCCTGAAGAAGGCATGGCCCAGATTAGAGGTGGGTTTTTCCAGCTCAAAAAATCTGAATTAAAGTTGTGTCTTCCTATCTTAAAGATCTGAATCAGACGTTGATCTTCCCACTTTCAAATAAAGCAAAAATTCCTCACAGGATTTGGGGATATTAGTTAATTCCAGATACAATCAAGTTGACAATTGAGAATAGCTATCACATGACTTAATGAAGGTTTATTAACTGAAATTTTTGTTTCTCTATAATTAAGGGTACACAAAATTTGCATTGGCTTAAAGAATGTAAGGATATGTATGCATTCGTATGAAGCAAGATTGTATTCCTGTGTGTTTGGGGGTCGTGGGAAGCTAATTCTCTGAGTCACACATGTCGCACTTTCTTATATCTTCTTCATTATAGTGACCAGGTAAAAACATGAATGGTTAGAAAACACTGCTAAGATGTTACCACACAAAATACAGAAATTCTCAAGCTGTCTCCGAATCAACTCAAGCCAGGAATAGGGACATGTCTCAGAGGTCCCTGCATGGGTTTGGCTCGTCATCTTTCCAAAGGTTTCCTAATGACGTTGTTAGAGTTTTGAGTAAAGCTGAAAGAAGAGAAAAAGAAAGCAATTACATTTGTTCGAGAAGGATTTCTAGGGAAGCATGCCCGGTAGAGGCTGACTGTTAGATTGACTTTGGTGAAACTGTGTTATGAGTAGAATACTTTCACATCTATTTTATTGCTATTTGCTTCTCCTGTTTGTCCTATGCAAAGTTTCGTAGAACTCCCAAGAGACAGTAATTACATAAGGCTTCTCGGCATCTATTGATATATTTGCTTCCTGACCCAGATTGTATTCCAGTGATCCATTGTAAGTTGAAACTATCTCAAGATGAAAGTGCATTGAATACCCCTAAGAGCATACCTCATAGCTTGGCCATGCTCCTGTGTGTTCAGAGTACTTGCCTTAGTCTACAGTTGGGCAAAATCATCTCACAAACAGTCCATTGTGCAATTGTATTAGTTGCCTGTCTTCCTGTTATGAGAAAAAAAAAACAAACCTGACAAAGGCAGCTTAAAGCAAAAGGGTTTATTCTGGCTCAGAACTCGAGGGTCGAGTCCATTGTGGGAGAGGAGCCATGAAGGCCGGAGCTTCATACAGCTGCTCAGTTTGCATCCGCAGTCCTGCAGCAGGGAGACATGAATGGGGATGCTCGGCTTCCTTTCTGCTTTTGACTCCATTCATGATCCTAACCCACGGAATGAGGCTGCTGCACTTGGTGGGGTTCCCCATTTCAGTTACCCGAATCTAGAAATCCCTCCAGGACAGGGCCAGAGATTTGTCACATGGTGATTCTAAACACTGTCAGGTTGACAGTCAGGATTAACCATTACAATAATAAGCAATTAAATATTTCATGAATGTACTGAGTACTGAATAATGGTGAAAAGGAATGTTTATGTGGGAACTCACCATTGACATACACTCAATGCACATGAATGTGCTGTTTCATTTTCACAACGTAGGGAAGTGGAGAGTCACAAATTGAGCTATCATAAATTAGAGACTGTCTATAATTTTGATCTGTCAATGTAAATAGCAATCAGAAAAAGATTCTCCTATGAACAGTAATATATATTTGGGTATAAAATAGCAATGTAATGAGAACATGTACACTGTAGTAAGCTGTGAGTATATTCACAGAAGCTGACACAGGGGCAGCTATGCTAGGGCATAAATGAGATATGTATTGTCTTGAATATATATACTTAAGATGTATATATAATGTCTCAAAACAATTATCTTGGTTGCAGACATTGCTTCCAAGAAGGGATGCTGTTTTAAGTTAAACACACTTGTTGAGGTCCTTTAAGAACTGAATGTACCAGACTCTGTTGTTCCCCCATGGGAGAACTTACCTTTTTGGAGGAGGGGATGAGGGGTAGGTCAAGGTGGGTTAGGTGGGGGCAGGGGGAGTGGAAGGAGGGATGAGAGGGGGATCTGTGGTTGGTATGCAAAATGAATAATTTTTTTTTTAAATAAAAAAGTACCATTAGCCAGGCAGTGATGGTGCATGACTTTAATCCCAGCATTCCTGAAGCAGAGGCAGGTAGATTTCTGTGAGTCTGAGGCCAGCCTGGTCTACAGAGCAAGTGCCAGGATAGCAAGAGCAACACAGAGAGACTCTGTCTCGAAAACAAAACAAAACAACACAAAAAGAAGTAGGTTTAATTTAAGATTACAATGATATTTTCACAGAATGATACCCCTAGGATTCTTTCTGTGTCACATTAGGATAAGGAAGTCAGACATGAGAACTCTTTCTTCATAGTCCCTTGGATTGCTCTATCATCTATCTCTCATCTGCCTTCCTACCTTCCTACCTATATATTACCTATTGATCATCTGTATACCTATCATTTTTATACTTAATTTTTAACTGTTACACAAAAAAAAATTGCTAAATGGTCTTTAATAAAAAGCCCAGAGCCACATATTGGTGTAAATGCTGAAAGATCAGAGAGACCAAGGAACAAGCCACAGCCACCACTTACCTCTGGGACTCCTCAGCCTGAAAAGGTTCAGTTCCTGTCTCCTCACGTCTTATGTACCTTTCTCTGCCGAGGCATATTACTTCCTTCTTAGTGCTGGGATTAAAGGCGTGTGATTCCCAAGTACTGGGATTAAAGGTGTGTGCCACCACTGCCTGGCATCTATGTTTAATCTAGTGGCTTTCTCTATTCTCTGATCTTCAGGCAAATTTTATTAGGTTACACAATATATCACCACATTTAACTGTTGAAACTACATGTTATGATACATCCTATGAAATGTTTCATCGTTATTTAAAAAATGTCATACATATTTATGAGTAGACTCAATTTAATTATAAGCTGTGATAAATGCCTGTTAGGTTTATTAACCAAACTTCATCAGCAACATTTACTATGTTTTGGAGATGAGAATTAGAGTACTAGCAGATTGGAAAATTTTAAATCAAAGATTTGTTACCTGAAACTTTGACATTAGCCAATTAATTGGTACAATTATTAATAGCATCCCTTCTTCACTTGAAGCAGATTTTTGTAGTAGAATTGTTTAAACCATGGTGTTATAATTAGCTGAAACGGAAGTAAATTCTGTGCACCCTGTTGGTTTCAGTTTTCTGACTGACAGGAAAAATAACATATAAGTATTATCTTTTGACTTTCTGTTCCACACTTTTATGTGTTTAGTTAACTTGGTCTGCTTGAATGGAACTACATCAGTGGGTTTCACATGTGTGTTGATGTAAGTATTGTGTTTCACATCAAGGAGCCAAGTTCAACACACCAAAATTAAGTTTCGGTGGGTTCAACGTCATGTGGGAACTAAATAACAAACAAATGAACAGTCTCTGAGGAAAGGGGGAAGTCCAGTTCAAAGATCAGAAAAATAACGTTCAGCCTGATGGTCCAGCTTAGTGGTAGCGCACTTGCATAGCATGCAGAGGACCCTGGTTTTCTTCCCTGGCATGGAAAAAGGAAAGAAACAAAAAGATTCTGTGATAAAATATTACTGAGATTATTCTGTTCACCGTGACTTTGACCCTCAGGGTAGTAGGGACCATAGTGACAAAAGCATCCTTGGCTGATGTGTGGAGAGCCTTGTGTATGGAGGAAGATGGCAGTGTTCTGAGGCATTAGCTGTTTCTCAGCAGACCATAAGCCACCTCCTGGTGTCTGTGACCTAACACATGGCTTCTTAAACTCAGTGATGTGGTGGCTTTTCTCAGTAAAAGTGAACTCACTTGCTTATTGTTTTTCATAAAATGAGACCATGAAAGACAATTTACAGCTTGTTATGATAGCTTCTTGATGACTACAATTTGGAATATTAAAAAGTTTCATTTAATTATCTATTATATTTATTTAAAGATCCTGCTGTACTTCTTCATTTTCTTTTCAATCTACTCTGCTTATGGATTCAAGGTATCTTTTAGATAATGCCTCAACCATCCTGAAACAAATAAAAATATAAGAAAATCAGTTTATTGCTATAATATTTTTCTGGATTATTTGTCCATCATTATTAGGGGTTATCAGTTGTTTTCTTGCTTTTGTTCATTATAAAATGGCTCATCCTTTGTTTACTATCCCCAAAGTGTGAGTTAAAAGAAAATAGAGTTTTATTTTTCATCTCAAAAGTTGGGTTTTGATAGTGCGCAGTCTTGTAAGTCCTTGTTTTGTGTGGCACCAGTGGAAGTCACTTAGTGATGTGCTCCACTGAGTGGTCTGACACCAAAACAGTCCACTTAGTAGCTAGCACATTGGCAGGAGACAGTAGGAGGGCTGGGCTCAGTTGGAGTGACTATGGGTGCTTTTCATATGTGGTGGTTTGGGGGGGCACTGGTTGTTACCCAGACCAGGGCCAATACTTCCTGACTTCTGCAATAACAAAGCCCCATGTCTGACATCTTTTATTTGCTAAAGCAGTCACAGCTCACTTGGACTCAAGTGGAAGAAACACAGACCCATCACTCCACAAGATGGAGTGTTTATGAACTCACTAATGTCTGGAAAAACTACCAAACCTTCTGTAAGAAAGAGGTTTTGCCCCAGGACTTCCAATGTCTCCAGTATTTTTTCTTTTCTCCAGGACATCATACCACTTTGTGAAGTCCATTGGCTTTAAATTCACTTATAATGAAGTTTACAGTTTTAGGACATATATATTCATACTTAATATAATACTATAGTGAGATTATATCTCCTACTATTTCTTGTGCGAAATAAGGATCTATGTTTATGAAATATAAAGCCTATATATTAAGCACATCCTTTGGTGGGAAAATCATTCCTGTACTAGTGGATTTCATAACCAAATACAGGCTTTCCTTTAAAACTAAAAATAGCGAAATGTAATTCTAACATGTTAAATATCCTAAGTAAAACTCTGACGTAGTCTTAACATCTAGCTGTGCAGGTGAGGGTGTTTGCTTGTTTGTTTGTTGTTTGGTTGTCAACTTGTTACAAACTAAAGTCACCTGGGAAGAGGGAACCTAAACTGAGGAATTGTCAGATTGGCATCTATCTGGCCATGTCTGTGGGTCTGTGGGCCATTTTCTTTACTGCTAATTTATGTAAGAGGGACTAGCCAACCACAAATGGTACCACACCGGGGCAGATGGGCCTGAGATGTATAAAAAAAAGTAGCTGAGCAAGCCATAGAGAGCAAGCCAATTAGCAGCATTTCTCTGTGGCGCCTGCTTCAGTTCCTGCCTCCAGGTTGCCACCTGGAGTTTCCTGCCTTGGCTCCTCTCAATGATGGACTATGAACCTGAACTCCCAAAAGACTCCTTCCCTCCCCTAACTTGCTTTTGGTCATAGTGTTTATCACAGCAATAGAAACCAAGTTAGAACCTTCAGTTTTACTTTCATTCAAAATACATTTTTTTCCTACTCAGTACCACGCCCCCCAACATCTCTCTACAAATAACCCAGCAAGCATTGATTGACAGATGGGGCTGGCTGATACTGCCTTCCTCTCTGCTACTAAGATGCTTTCCTTACAGTTTCTGACAGTTGAAAATGATAGCTTGCCAGTATTCTCAGTGATATGTTGAGAGAGAAATTGTTATCTTCTATATAATTTTCCAACCACACATTTTCTTAGTTTCCCCCTTTCTTTTCATCTCACATCACTTGTTCTCATTAAGATGAAATAATTGAAAACAATCTGAGATTATCTGTATTCTCTCTCTCTCTCTCTCTCTCTCTCTCTCTCTCTCTCTCTCTCTCTCTCTCATATGTTTATTTTGTGCTTAGCTTTAAATATCTACTTTTTAGAAAAGGAAATAGAAGATGTAACAATTTTACTTGTTTGCCCCCATAACAATTACACTGTCTTTATATGCTCATCTCTGTCACCAGCAATCCCACACTGTGGGGCTGCATCCCAGTATCCTTACAAGATTAGAAGATTCTGGTAATAGAGGACCTGGGAGACCTCTGGAATACTGTGTGTCCCACATTGGGGATCTGCCAATCCCCAAACAAGGTTAATTTCTCTCCATGTAATTTATCATCACTAGTTTCTCTTGGCAATATTTTTATAGTTTTTAGCATATAGATTCTGTGTATTCTTATTAAATGTCTAACCTAGCATTGGGGCAATTCAGGGTTCTATTCCCAGAACTTACAAACACACACACACCACAAGCCCAGTATCCTAAGTGTTTCAGCATTTTGATTCCATTGCAAATGGTATTTTTTAAATGATGAGGGCAGCTATCTTTCCCTTGAATTTTTTTCTATATAGGGGAACTGTTGGATATTTTACCATTAAATATGGTTTCGGCTGAAGAATTTTTATTGATCATCTTTCTTATCATACTGAGATTTCTTTTATTCTTGGTTTGCAAAGAATATGGATTTTATTGTTGTTTAAATTTATCATAAATGGGTGTGTGGAATTTATCAAGTGACTTGTCTGAATATGTTGAAATAAATATAATTTTATTTTTTATTCTGTTGATATGATTATTTGCTAGTTTTTAAAAATCTCTGAAGATTGGAATAAAATGTTGGCTCAAAACAAGGGCATCATCTTATAATTATTATAATACAGCTACTTTTCTTAATTCAAGAAGTAATATTGATACAATAATGCTAGTGAATTTTATAGACTTTATGTAAATTTCCTGAATGTCTTTTTTTCTTCCTCCAAGTTTTAACACAAAGTTGCATTTTTGCCTTGACTGTACCATTTCAGTTTTCCTTATTCCTTTCAATCCTATTGCATTTCTTGACAGTTTAAAAATTTGATTCTCTTTTTAACTGTTTTTTTCCTGTGTGTGTGTGTGTGTGTGTGTGTGTGTTGGTGCACATGGACATATGCACACAGTGTCTTCCTCAGTCACTCTCCATCTTGGTCTTTGAGGCAGGGTCTCTCACTGAGCTTACTCATTCAGCAATGCCAGCTGACCAGTGCACCCAGTCTGTTGCTGCCTTCCCAGTTCTGGAATTACTGTTGCTCTTGGATGTTTCCCATCAGTTCTGGGAAAGCAAACTTGGGCAGCAAACTCCTTACCAACTGAGCCCTTTTCCCAGCCCATTCTCTGAGGCTTCTGAGGAATACTGTTCAGTTCACTTGGTAAGTGTCCCTCAGCATGGGCTGTGTTTTTCCCATTATTTGGTATACATACATTACAGCCTCAGTTCTTGCTGCTGACAGACATTTCTTGAGAAAATGGCAGATGCCAGAAGTTGGCAGAGAAATGCCCAGGAAGCTTAGAACATTGCTGTGTTTGCCCCTGTTACACAACAAGCCACTCCAAAGCCAGCAGAATTCATTACTCACCAGCTCTCCCTAGTTCACAGCTCCAGGCCAAGTTCAAGTAAACTCTGCCCTCAGGGTCTCCCCAGGCTGAAACTGAGAATCAGAGGAGCCCTTGTGGTTCTAAGGCTGACATCTCATTTTCTTCCTGGTTGTCAGTAAGAGCTCCTTTCACCCTAACAACCCACTGTTGGGCATACTGTGGTCTCTCAGCATGGTAGCTTGCACCCAATAGAAACTCTACCGAAAACAAACATAATGGTGCAGTGTAAACGGAGGTAGAGTTTCTGTCCAGTCAGCCTGATCCCAACTACCTGGCAGGGCTTTCCAAATTACCACACAGAGGCTTGTATTAATAATGCTTGGCTGATTGCTCAGGCTTATATTAACTAGCTCTTACATTTACATTTAAATTAACCCATTTCTATTAATCTATGTATTGCCATGTGGTCACAGCAGTTGTGGAGACATGCACAAGGCAGTGCAAAGCTGAGACCATCGACACTCAATTGTAGAGGGGAGAGGTCCTCAGGAGGCTCCACCCTCGGAGGAGGAGTTCTAGGCAGTTGACAGTGGCTGGTGGTGGACCATTGTGTTCTTCTCTGATTCAGACACTGGTTAAGCTGCCTTTGCTCCAGAAAATAACTCCCTACTCACGCTCATGCAGGCAACTCTCCCTAGTTATTGCAGTGGCTATAAACCAACAATGTTGTGTGACTGTGTGCTCTTGGGGGTCAAAGGACATATTGGGGTGTTCTACTCCTTTTTATCTTGTTGAATACCAGGACTTTCTCCACTGTGACCAAGCTAACTTCTGGAGATTTCTTTCTCAGTCCCTGCCTCCCATTTTCTGCAGACACACAGAGAAGACAGGGGCCTGTGTACTATGACTGGTTTTGTTTAGGGCCTGGAGATCTGTACTCAGGGGTTCAGTAGGGCAAGCACTTTACAGCTGAGCCACCTCTCCAGTCCTGACCCTTTAAAACTTATTAAGTGTATTTTAAACATCAGCATATGGTTTAATAAAATATTCATATACATTTCAAAAACTGCAGAATTTTTTGCTAGGTATAACGTTCAATAAATGTTGATTGATTCAGGTTGTCAGTGTTCATATTTCCATAGTGGATTTTTGTCCACTTGCATCAATTATTTTTAAAAAAAGAAAGTTGCAACCATAAACTGTACTCTAAGTTGTCCTATTATTTCTGTATTGTCAGATTTCTTTATATGTTGTAGAGCCCTGTTACAAAATACATAAATATGTATATATTGGTATCTTGTTAAACATGAACACACACATACACACACATACATGATTGGTATGTCTTTTAGAGAAACTGAATTTTTTCTATAAACTTAAATTAAAAAAATAATATTTGTTAATTCTTTGATAATCCCACGCAATGTGTTTTGGACACATTCATCCCCCAGCCCCTCCTGAAATCACAATCTCCACTCTCCATCTTTTCCCACCCAACTTTGGGATTTCTTCTTCCTCTGTATTTTCCCCCTATCAAGTCCAGTTTGTGTTGCCCAGCTAGAACCAAAAGCAGGGCCTGCCCAGACTTGTTGTGGCCAACCTACCAGGGATCACATCATTAAAGAAAACTGACTCCTTTTCCCAGCGTCTGTGCTGGGGAAATTCCAATAGCTCCTAAGCTAGTGACAGGATTTTCTGCCCACCTTTCCTTGTCTTTGTTTGTTTGGTTGGTTTTTGTTTTTTGTTTTTGGTCTTGCGCATGCTGTCATAATTTCTGTGAGTTCACGTGTACAACTGCCCTGTTGTTTCTGGAAAATACTGTTTCCTTGATGTTCTTGACACTTCTGGTTCTTACATTCTGTCTGCTCCATTTCTGTGAAGATCCTTGAGTCTTGGGGCAGCGGGTGTAATATGTACATCCCATTTAGGTCTGGACCCCAACAGTCTGTATTCTCTACACGTTGACCAGTTGGGAGCTTCTGGGTTAATTGCTATCTTCTGTAAGGAGAAGTTTCTTTGATGAGGATTGAGATATTCTGATTTATGAATAAAGTAATAAGTCATTAGGAGTTGTTTTAGGACTATTTCCATGATAAAAAAAAAAAACAAGGAATTTATGTCCACTAAGACAGCTCTAAAGTTGAAACTGAGTATTCACTGGATATGCTATGAGAAATTCAGTCTATCCTCACAAATAGGTTTAAAATGACAGCCATAAAGATGAAGGGTCAATATTCTTGAGAGATGCTTTGGACTGATTACCTGCCCTTATTATCCTAATCAGGTGCCCAATCTAACAGACCTACCTGGGTCCTTTCTTTCTCTTTTTCCAACTCCAATCCTTCCCTCTACTCCTCTTCTTGGCACCTGAGTTCTCTTTACCCTCCTCTCCCATCTCCTTCCTCCCTCTGATACGTTATCCTTCACCTCCACTTCACTCTCAGCCCATTCTCAAGAAATACCTCTCCTCAGACTTAGAAAAGAGATAGAACATTGCAAAAAGGACACTGGAAAATTTTCATCCTAGGACTGTATACCCCTGCAGAGATTCCTCCAACCTCTGTTTACCCCCTTGGTAAAATTTCTTTGGTGGGGGACTGGATTTGTGAATGCTTCCCTTACAAGCTCTGAAGTAAGAAATCATGAAAGGGAATTTAAATCCCTCATGAAGGATCCCTGAAGAGATTGGTTCCTGGGCTCATAACTTTATACCTGGAGAGAATGATGATGTGGCCCTTCATGGTCATTTGGAATAGGGATGGCCTGGTATCCTGGCCACAGATGTTAAGTACTATAGCCAGGACCCTCCATGTAATAATAACCTTGAGGCCCACAAAGAACGTATGAAAGATTTTATCTAGTTATAGTTTTTTATTGCTGTGAAGAGATACCATGACCATGGCAACTCTTGTAGAGACAACATTTAATTGAGGTGGTAGCTTACAGTTTCAGAGGTTCTGCCTATTATCATCATGATGGGGAGCATGGCAGTGTGCAGGCAGACATGGTGCTGTCTACATCTTGACCAGAAGAAGCAGGAAGTTGACTATCACACTGAGTAAAACTTGAGAAAAGAGACCTCAAAGCCCACCCTCATAGTGACATGCTTCTTTCAATGAGACCACACTTCTTAGTAGTGCCACTCCCTTTAGGGGCCATTTTCTTTCAAACCATCATAGACTTGAAAGTTCTTATTGTAAAAAAAATCAAAGAGTAAGTTCCCAGATCCCAAAACACAAATAATCCTTTAACATTAAACAAAGAATGAGGACAGTCAGACCTCTATCCGTAGAGGAGATGATCCACAAATGAGAAAATATTCTTGATTGAATACAGATCAAGATCAAAGAATATTGAAACTGTGTTTTGTGACCAAAAGTTGGCCAGAAATCTCTAAAAAGTTACAAGAGATAGAAAAACTCCCTAGAGAATCTCAGAAAATACATTGTTTTAGCCAGTGTTCTGTTGCTGTAAAGATACACCATGACCAAGGCAACTCTTATAAAAGAAAGCACTTACTCTGGGGTATCTTGCAGTTTCAAAGGGTTAGTCCATGATCATCATTGTGGGAAGCATGTAGGCATGGCACTGGATCAGTATCTGAGAGCTTTACATACCGATCCACAGGTACAGGCAGAGAGAGAGGAGAGAGGAGATAGATAGGAGAGAGAGGGTGTGTGGTGTGTGCTTCTGAAACCTCACAGCACACTCCCAGTGACACACCTCCTCCAACAAGGCCACACTTTCTAATCCTTCCCAAACAGTTCCACTAATGTGACTAAGCATTCAGCTATATGAGCCTATGGGGGCTATTCTTATTCAAACTACATAAATGTAAGAAAGGATAAACAGAAACACAAACAGAAATCTCAGCCCATGCTCTCTACATTGGAAAAAGTTTTTTTCATGATATTTAGCTGTGAAGTCTCTCTGTGTACTGAAGTGTCCCCAAGTGATGGTGACCTGATGCCTTTGATGCTCTGCATTACAAGACAGAGAACCAATAAAGCAATGAGTATAAACTGAATATTCTGAACCTATTAGTTAAAACAAATCCTTTCTGTGTTGTTGGTTTGTTTTTTTTTTTTTTTTAACTCTTTTCGGGGAGGCTCATCACCCAGCTCTCAAATAAATCACACACAGAGAGACTTACTACTTATTATTACTTATAAACACCCGGCCTTATCTTGGCTTGTTGCTAGCCAGTTTTCTTAACTTTAAATTATCCTGTCTACCTTTTGCCTCTGGGCTTTTCTCGTTCTCTTACTTCTGTAAATCTTACTCTGTGGTTTGCTGTGTACCTGGGTGTCTGGCCCCTGAAGTCCTCCCCCTTCTCTTGTTCCTTCTTCTCTTTCTCCCAGATTTCTCCTTCTGTATATTCTCTCTGCCTGCCAGCCCCACCTATCATTTCTCCTGACTCACTATTGGCCATTCAGCTCTTTATTAGACCAGTAGGTGTTTTATACAGGCACAGTAACACAGCTTCACAGAGTTAAATAAATACAACATAAACAAAAGTAACACACCTTAAAATAATATTCTACTACATTCCAGCCTTAAGTTGTAGATAGCTGGAATTTTGTCACAACAATAAGAAGTCTGATACATATTAAAAAATGGGGTTATTTTAAATTAACATACTGTTCTACAAAATGAAGATATAAATACTCATTAAAATTTCGAAAGTAGGTGAACTCACCTGAAAATGAAACAACTTTTTGTCATGAATTTTACCACATATTCTAAGTCTGTTCTGTATAGAATAATAAACAGAATGCAATTATTTGTCATGCATGTAAGCCTACCTAAATGAACAAATTAACTTCATTTAGGATTTGAGAAACAAGTGGTTACTACTTACAAATGTTCTATTTATGCTGGAACATCGTGGGCTTGTAATTGCTAATTAAAATGCTAACTTGCAGGCTGATGATAAAGCGTAGAGGGTAAAGACACTTATTTCCAAGCCCGACAGCCTTAGTTCAATCCCTGGGACCCACATGATAGAAGAGAACCAACTCATGCAAACTGTCCTCTAACCACACAGGCTCTGTGGCACATGCCCATACGTATGATAAGAAAATAAATGTAACAAACATTTTAAAAGAGATGGCTTCCTGGACTTTAAATATATTCAATTCAAAAAGTGTTTTAAAAGTGACTTCACTCTTTTAATCCTTGATTTAAGTTTTCTTGGCAGGTTGGCAGGTTCCGTGTGCTAATTTCCCAGTTGAGTTTCTTGTCAATTGAACTGCTTCTAAACGCGGGCTATTTATACAAAAGCTCAGGGCACGCTCTGAGAGCACAGCTGCCTCTGCCTTCATAAGATATGCATGAGCTATGTTCAGCAACACTCGCTTATTACAGCAAGTAACATCGAATCTATTTTATTTTTCCCAAGTCACTTAAAAATTGACTTAAACATATAGATGGTAGATTGGAAAGAAGTCTTATGGAGCACATTTGGGGTGGAGTTTAGTCCCTTTGTGCATCCAAAAATTGTGGGGCTTTCCATGCTAACAAAGAAGAAACCTGCTTTCACTTCTCTATGGGAAATACGTCACCTCGCAAGGTCTATTGCCTCCTGGCCCCTGTTTCTTGAGACCACAAAGTGCTCCATGATTCTAAGCCATGAGGAAGTTACCTCCAACCATCTTTTGTCACAGGTCACCCTAAGCTTCCACTGAAGTCCACATCTGTGGGTGGCTTTAGTTACCCATAGAACCCCTCTGGAGCCCCTCGATATCACCGGGGTGCCCAGACAGCTGAAGTCTTCAGCCAAAGATGCTGGAGCTCTTTCAAGGATCACCCACCACAGGCATCGCTGCTGTCCCTTCATTCCATCTCAGACGTTCCATGAGGTGGGAATGGGTGTGGCCAGCCCCTTTCCCCAACTCTCAGAATGTGGAACGCTCATTGCCTACCTTCTATAGGGAAACAGTGACTTCCGAGGAACACCCCATTGCCTGTTAATGGGCTGCACTTTTCTGATCAGCGGCTGCATCTTAGGATAACCCAAGGAAACTTCTGGTACCTATCTCGCTAAAGCAACAAATCCATCACTGCTTTGGAAACCAGGGGGTAGTACGATAGCAGGAATTGGATCTTCGGTCGCTTCTCTGATCGTCAGAAGTCTACTGTTCTCTATGAATAGATACATATTCTCTTAGATAGTAAATTTAGGTAGTGATTTTGGCTGGGACCTACACCGTTGTGTTCTTCAGCAAACCTAAAGAGCAGCAGCACCTTCTGTGATCATGGAAACATTCAGTGTCTGTGCTGCTTTAATTGGCAGCCCCAAGCCACCTGTGCCACCCAGCACACAAGATGTGCTTGTAGCTGAGAGACTGAAATGTAATTTTTTTGTGATTGTGGAAAAAAAATAGTTTAGTGAGAGGAGCTAAGAGTTCCTGAACTGGACAGATACATATTTGTCTTAGTGATTATGTGTGTACAAGTTTATCAAAACTCATTTCCAGAATGAATGAATCCTTTCCCCCAACTCTATGCTTAACTTTAAACTTAATCTACTCCTTTAAAAAAAAAAAAAAAAAAAAAAAGCAAAACAAAGCAAACACTCCATCTGGAATTTAAAAATAAAACCTTGAGAATATGTGTTTTTGTTCTTTTATCAAAACAAAAGCTTGTTAGAAATGGGAGATCCAGAAATTTTTGCAGGGTGAGCCTTACCCATCAGCCTTTCCCTCCTCCAGAGTGTCTTTTCTAGGCTAAACATCTGCAATGGTAGCGTAAATAATTCCTCTCCAAAATTAACATGTGTTGAACGAGAGCGCGGGATGAGTCCCCACCACGCCAGCCCCCCTTAGACTGTCTTTCTGTCAACACGTCCTGTCCCACAGAAGTACTCAATGAATCAAGCCATTTAAGAAATGTGGGTGGGATTTTTTCTTTTTTTGGCCTTTAAAAAATAGGACCTTACTGTGTAAAAATATTGAAAACTAAAATAAAATTTGAACTCATGTTATTTCTTTAGACATCTTTGAAGACGTGAAACTAAATGAAATAGGACTGACTACTGCTGACAGACTTGAGTCCATCCCAAAACTTAAATATATATGAAGCTCAGGTACCTTAGTGAGGAATGTTTAGATTTACCACCTCGCCACAGCTCTGCCCACAATCATTTTTAGAAGCATTCATGATTGTATTCTTTTACCACAATAGTTCTGACTCTTACTGACTCCCAACTCACCAAATATTTTTTTCTGTAGCGTTTGACCATTTAATTGATCCATATTCAAATAAATACAAAATTTTATTTGGACAGAACAAGAAGAAAAAATCCCAGCATCTTATTTTCACTGAGTATCATTGTTACTAAAATACCAAATTTATCCATTGCACTTTGGCTCACAGCTTGGATGGAATTTTCATTCCATTCTTTAACAATTTCACATATGTACTCAGACATACTTCCAATGTTCAAATATTGTGGGGTGGCTAAACAGTGAATCTACAAAGAAGTGGTTCAGTTTCGAATCTGTGATATACACAAGCCCTCTGAATGTATATCCCAAAGAAGAAACACGGAGACCCAGAGCAGAAAAACTGTTTGAACTTAAACCAGGAAAATTGGTACATGCAACCAAATCTACCCACGAAGATGGGTAAAATCAGGATGTGAACTGTTCAAGGTAAATTTGATGAGATCCTCCAAAGCATAAAAGAATCAATGGTTCCTTCTTTTGTCTGTTAAGTCACTACTTTTGTTAAAAGAACGTTATGAGGTCCTTAGCTATAAATTTTTATTTTTTAAGAAAACAAAACAAAACAGGAAAAAAGAATTTTATTTTGAAAAATAATCTGTATTTATGAAGTCTAGTTTAGGCAAGTAATCAATAGGTCTTTTAGCATATGTTTGTCTTATATTTCAATAAAAATTCTTGAAAAGCTCTGGAATAAACTGTTTAAACAGAATTATGACTCAAATTTATTTACAGATTTGCATATCAAAGTATTTTCTACTCATATGAAAAAATTACAGCTGTTCTTTTAAAATATAGTAGTTCCTCTGTAAATCCTCTACTATCATAGCCTGAAAGATGCACAGTGACTGTAATGACAGCTTGTCTAGAAATTCAAAACCTCTGCACGTTACACAGTTCTACTCAAGTACATTGCAAAGTCATCCTTATTTTAAGGATACTGATGAAGGAGAGTCATTCATCAGCTATGTACCAAGGTCACATGAGAGTAGCAATGCCAGGAAATTTATGCTGCCCTCTCAGGAATGTTCTCCTGTGGGTGCAAACATTAAAAATCATCAAGTACTGAAAAAAATTGATATTTGTGACATAGCATAATAAGAATGCATTGCTGGTTTGTCTCTGAACCCAAGTAGAAATTGATTAAATCACACACCCCCAAAACATGATATAGCTAGAGACAAGTGCACAAAACCACACAACTATGATACAGTGTTTATTTGTATTATACTTAGCACAGTGGGATCTTCTCTAATAATTCTTGGACACTGTGATGGATAATTTGGAGTCAATGACAGATGTTCTACTGAATGTGTTCCTTATTGACTTGGTTAGTTGTGTTTGGCTTTGTCAACTTGACACACCACCCTAGAGTCATCTGGGACGAGGAACCTCACTTGAGAAAATGCCTCCATCACACTGTCTGTGGGCAAGTCTGTAGGGCATTTTCTTTCTTAATGATTGATGTGAGAGAGCCCGGAGTACTGTGTGTATGGTGCCGTCCCTGGACAAGTGGTCCTGGCTTGTATAAGAAAGCAGCAGCTGAGCAGGCCATGTGGAGCAAGGCAGTAACCAGTGTTCCACATGGCCTCTGCCTCAATTTCTGCTTCCAGGTTCCTGCCCTGACTTCCTTGGATGATGGACTGTGAAATTTAATTGTAAGCCAAGCAAACCCTTTCCTCCCAAATTGTTTTTTTTTTTTCTTGTGGTGTTTTAATTACAACAACAGGAACTATAACTTAGAAAGAAATTGGTACCAGGGTGGTGGCATACTACTGTAACAGGCCAAACCATGCTGTTTTGGGGAGGGTTGTGATGCCATTTAAATTTTGGGCTAGGAAAGGTGTTGAGTGATCAAAGTTTAATGAGCTATTGTGGAAGCTTGGAACATAGCTACTATACCCCTAAATTTAGCGGTGTGCTTCCTCCTTCAGCTATAATAGAACGTCTTTGGCTATGTGACAAAAGTTTCTCAGACCCAATATTTTGATTCATTGTGTGTGTACATGTGTGTTTGTGTTTGCTGGGTCTGTCAAAAACATGAGATTTTTCATGTTGATGGGTGCATTTCCTTCCCTGAAAACCATATGAAATACGTCAGCTTTTCTTTGCCCATCTGAAAGCCTAGGTCTTTCTCTGGACCACTTATTAGGCTTGTTTCCTGTCTGAAGGATACACTCTATACCTAATTCATTGGTTGGACAGAAATGACTGACATGTGCTAAATCAAATGCATAACCAAACTTATCATGGTTTGGACTCATTCAGAGCCCATGGACTTGGTCTGGTCATTCGTATTTGTTTAACAGCATTCATCATGTTACTCCTTCCATATTACCAAAGTACGTTAACATTTCTACAAAATGTTTTTATTGTATTTTACCATATAATAAAAAGTACTCTCTGGAGTATGTGTTATGGTAAGCTTTTGAGTATCACAGATTCCAAATTTAAATTCTCAAATTCCAACATAAATATTCAGAGGACTATTCAAGGGATTGTCTAAATTGTTCACACATATACGGAGAGTAGCAGATTCTTGATATTACACAACATCAAGGTTTAGAACTTGATTCCTTAAACTATGGCACCTTAGCACACTAAGAACTTTGAACCAAATATTGGAAAGGCCCAAGAAGCAGTGTTTCTTTCTGCCTGCCTGCCTGCATGCCTGCCTGTGTGCCTGAGTACCTGCCTGCCTGTGTGCCTGCCTGTGTGCCTGAGTGCCTGCCTGCCTGCCTGATTGCCTGCATGTCTGCCTTCGTGCCTGCATGCCTGCATGCCTGCCTGCGTGCTTGCCTGCTTGCCTGCCTCTTCCAGTTGTTTTTCTCCTACAGAGTAAGAGAATCAGAATGCTTGTTTTCAAGATAGCTCACAGAGACCCAGATACTTCTTCCAGCAGAAAAGTCATGTTCTCTCTTCTTCCTACGACATCCTCACTTCAGTATGGTCTTGTTCTAAAACAGTTCACACAGGGAGGTCAAGAAGAATCTGGGTAGATTAGGTGTTAGGTTCCCCCTCAGTGCAATGTCAGTAAATGGTACCTTGTCCAATCATGTTTCTGTTGTTACAATTCTTTTTTTCTGTTTTTTTTTGAGACATGGTTCCTCTGTGTAGTTTTGGTGCCTGTCCTGGATCTTGCTCTGTAGACAAGGCTGGCCTTGAACTCACAGAAATCCACCTGGATTTGGATCTGCCTCCCAAGTGCTGGGATTAAAGGGGTGTGCCACCACTATCTGGCTGTTGTTAGAATTCTTAAACAGTTTTTTTAAAAAAAAATAATAATAATCAAAACCTGGAGCCTGATATTGGGGTGAAAGCTGAAAAATCAAAGAAGCATATCAAGCCACAGCCACTACCTCTTATCTCACCAACTCCTCAGCCTGAAAGAACCTCTAGTTCCTGTCTCCTCATGCCTTATATACCTTTCTCTGCCCAGCCATCACTTCTTGGGATTGAAGGGTGTGTGTGCTTCCCAAGCAAAGGCTTGAGATATGAAGTGCTGGGATTAAAGGCATGTGATTCCCAAGTGCTGGGATTAAAGGTGTGTGCCACCACTGCCTGGTTCTGTTTCTCTACTAGACTGGTCAATCTCACGTAGCTTTAAA